TCGCTCTTGCTCAGACTGGTTTCGAACTCCTGAGCTCAAACAATCCACCCACCTCGGCCTCCCAGAGAGCTAGGATTACAGGCGTGAGCCACCGCACCCGGCCACACATTTGTTTTTTTCTACCTTTTTTGTTTGTTTGTTTATTGCTGTCCATGTTTATTTCCAGAAGACATGACTTGAATAAACTCTACTTCATTAAAAATTACTTCAGGCCAGGCATGGTGGCTCATACCTGTAATCCTAGCACTTCGGGAGGCTGAGGCGGGAGGATTACTTGAGGCCAGGAGTTCAAGAAGAGCCTGGGCAATAGCAAGACCTTATATCTACACAAATGTTTTGAAATTTAGCAAGTCGTGATAGCGCGCACTTGTAGACCTAGCTAATCGGGAAGCTGAGGTTGGAGGATCACTTGAGCTCGGGAGTCGGAGGCTGCAGTGAGCTATGATGAGGCTACTGCACCCTAGCCTGGGCAACAGAGTAAGATCCTGTCTCAAAAAAGAAAAAAATAACCACTTCATGGGATAATTTTATTAGTACTATTTCTGTTGGTTAAATATTTCAGGGCCACACTTTGTTTAAATTAAAAAAAAAATGGTTCTCCTATCTCATGCCCATTTTGATGATTCACTAAATAAAGACCACAGTTATGGGAACATGGAATTTTTCACTTTTTTGCCAACACATATTTCAAGTATACGGGTTACTGATGGATATTTGGTGCCATGGTTTGAATGTGTCTCCCAAAGTTCATGTGTTGGGAATTTAATCCCCAATGCAACAGTGTTGAGAAGTGGGACCTTTAAGAGGTGATTAAGTCATGAAGGCTCTGCCTTCAAAATGGATAAATGCCATGATCGAGGGAGGGCATTAGCTATCAAGCGAGTGAATTTCTTGTAAAAGCAAGTTTGGCTCTCTCTTGCTCGCTCCTGCTCTCTCTCGTTCTTCCACTCTCTGCCATGGGATAATGAGCATGAAGGTCTTTGCCAGATACTAGTGCCATGCTCTTGGATTTCCAGGACCATAAGCCAAACAAATTTCTGTTCATTCTAAACTACCCAGTCTGTAGGATTCTGTTATAGCAACATAAAACAGAATAAGACATTTAGCAAAAAGTATCGGGCAGAGAAAGCTCTAGGTTTTCAAACTTTCATTTTGTTCTTTTATGTTTTCTGAGCTGTAGATCACTAATATTATCATCCATGGATGGAGTCCCCACAGTTTTCTAGGGAGATTTACAGAGCTATACTGGGGCCAAAATGCACTCAATAATTGCATGTGGGAAATGGTCCTTGAGATATTGGATTTGGCCTGGCACAGCTCACGGAATGATGGAAGCAAAGACTATTAGAAGGAATTCTGATTTGTCTTACAGGGGGCCTGAGAATTTCCATCATTGCCTGTTTCCCCTTCAGTATTCCAGAACCACTCTATATTTTGGAAAGCATGGGCCCAGTAAGATCAGCCTATTCTCAAAAATCAAAGCAAGCAAGGAATCTTCAGTCTGATCATCCTCTCCTAATGGAAAAAACACATGGTTTTCTCCACCAGTATGGGTCCCACTGATCCTGCAACTGTAGCTATGGGAGCTAAAGTGTCTACAAAGCGAGTAGAACAATACAGACTGATACTCAGTAAATCAGAGAAGAGTTTTCAGATGCATTATCAAAATGAAAACAGTTTGTAACAGAAATTGGGAGTTGAAGATTCAAAATTACTGCTTTGCCTTTATAATGAGTCTAGACCTGCTTCTTGCTACCCAAACCTTCAAATGATAAAAGTCCAACCTAATTTTTTTATCATGCCTGATCTCTCTGCTTAAGTCTAATTTAATTTTTTGAGACAAAAACCATAACTATTTTTTAGTTTCAGTGTACTAAGAAAATGAGTTAAATGGCATAGGAAAACTTCCCAGTAGGATAAATGACCTAATCCATTTTCTTGGCAACTGGTAACTGATGTAATACAGGAAGGAAGTGAAAGGAAGGAAGAGGAGGAAGACTGGATGCTGAAAATTGGAGTATGAGAAAATTAGTTACTGACTTTATGGCTGGAGAGTCTCATGGGAGAGAGAAATGAATGCCTCTAGAAAAATACGTAAAGACGGGAACATTTTTGTGAAATAACCATCTGGTTAATTATGTCTTTCTTACATATTTTTTTAAAAATAAGCAAAATTAAAAAAAAACAGTTCATCAGACATTGTAAGTTACTTTTACCTGCTAATTTGTAAGTCAAATTCATCTTTAATATACCAAATTATGATATTTAATATATCAAATTATGTCCCTCTAAAAAAAAAACACTACAAAATGCAAAAATCTTGGTTAAATATTACTAGCCAGTTAGATCTGTCTACAATTATCAACATCATTGTACCATGGCATCATTACAATGGAAATCCTCTTATAGATATTTCGAATATTGGGCAGTGAATAATGAATGTGTAAGTAAGGAAATGTAGTAGAAAAAATGTCTGAGCACAGGGAGAGAAGCCAATTTTGCTGCTAACCAGCTCTGAGACCTTGAACAAGAAATTTAACTTCTCTGGAATCCCAGCTTCCTTGCCTATGAAATGAGGTGACGGACTAAATGACTTCTTGTCTGAAGAGCTGCAATACGCTTCTAAGTAGTCTGCTGATTTCTATTCTTTTTATTCTCTAATTTATTTAACATGCAACCTAATCGAGACTCCCCTGCTTGAAACACTTTAAAGACTGTCATTGCTTTTGAGATTCCTTCTTTCGTTTTTTCAATGAACACTAAATATTTATGGAGTACCAACAATGTGCTCAAGCATGGCACACAATGTCCTTCTTAATAGGGCCTTTTAAATCGCAACTCCTCAAAATACCCTCTGCTCCAGTAATTTTGTTTACTCTCAGTTGCCTCCCTGTGATCTTCCTTATCATCGCATACCTTTTCAACCACTGTACTCTGTGCTTGGATGCCCTTCCTCCCCCTTGTTTATATGGCAATGTCCTACGCATCCTTCAAGATCCAGGTTAATGGTGAAGATTTTGTGATTCCCTAAAGCCTTCTCCATCTCCAAGGGAAAAGATACTACTCTCACTTCTGCATTCCAATAGCACTTGGCACATTTCTTTATTACAATATTTGTTTTGTTGTATTTTAGTCATTGGTACACATTCTGTATCAACAGGAAAATGAGTTTTTCAAAGGGGGAGATTGTGTTGAAGTAGCAGTTGATAAGAAGTAGATTGCAATACCATTTATTTAATGAATAGCTTCCAGCTCAAAAATATGATTCTAATTTGGAGAATTGTTAGCTTCCATTGTGACAGAAGTTTCCTTTTTCTGATATACGTGACCATTGGTTGACATATGATTCTTTTGTTGCCGTGCAGAACAATCATGTTACTTTGAAACGATTGAAAATACAGGTGAGCCAAACTACTGTAGTCCTCAGCCAGTCGTACACCACTGGTTGAAAGGGTTTTCAACCAAATGAGAAACTCTACCCCTTGTCTCCAGTGGGACAGGCACCAGATTCCCACAAGCAGGAGCTCCCATGTTCTGTAGCACGTGGCATCTGACCCTGGAGTGGAGTGAGCGGGCACAGAGCCCCAGCGCTGGGATTCAGACTAGATGGCGTTTCGCCATTGTGTGCCATGGTGTGTCAACGCTTTCAGGCTGGGGGCACTGGTGTGGTGACCACAGCTCCCCTGAGAAGTCACACCCACTTGAAAAACCTCATGAATAGCTTTTCAGAAACAGTGGAAATTGCAGTCTATTAAACCTTTCTGTTCAAAGCTTTCTTCCCTAAGAATGCAGACCAGTGCCACAAATGTAGTCACCTCCTTTAAATAAAGGACAGTTGTATTATTCAGCTTGATAATTGCCATAGATGTTTTGTCTTAAGCACTTCCACTTCCGTCTTCCTTTAACCCATGTACGCAAGACACGTCAATCACGACATCAATCATGTCATAGCAAAGTTCATGAGACTGCATATCCACAGGGGAACGTCTGTTGCAATGTAGGTTTTGTTGACAACATCGAAGAGAAAAGCTTTTTCAATATTTGAATTTGATATAAAGATATTTAATAGGTTTTCCAAGGTCTGCAGTTGTGGGATGAGTTTCTGCACCACCTTACTAAGGGCTTCAAATGTTGAATGGTCCTAGTTACTAGTCAAATAAAAGCTAAGGTGGAGTTTTTCTAGCCCAGCATCTGCAAGGTCATCATTGGCCCTTTGATGAATGTTCCTCTGTGTTTCTATTTTGTGATCATCAGAGAGACCATCATCTTTGTGAATAAAAAGCTCAAAATTCATGTCTGGCTGAACTTTGTAGGCTTTAGGAACAGTAATGCGAAGTCTTGTTAAAGCCTCCAGGTAGTCACCCTGTGCACCAGTGACATAGATCAATGCTCCTGCTCCCCTGAAGATCATCTCATAGTCAGATGTTGGGTCAAAAAAGTCCATTTGTCCAGGAAAATCCCGTATCTGGAAATTTACAAAGGAACTATTGGAAATGTCCTCTTTGTAAATCTTATTGGTACTTTCCAAAAAGAGGGTCTCATTGGATGACATCTTATGAAACGCCACCTTCTGGATGGAGGACTTGCCGCAGAGCCCCATGAGCAGAATCCTTTTTTTGGGGGGGTCTTGGAGCTATCATCCCCAGCCCTACCCCACCCCACCTCACCACAGCCCACGCTGGTCCCCGTCCCAACCCCGCTACCATCGCCTCCTCCTCCATGCCATGGCGAAGTCCTTTGGAAACCAATCAGCCCCGCGGTCACTGCGGGCGAGGGGCGTCTCCTCGGCCCGGTACTGCAGGGACATGGTGCTGTGGCCGCCGCCCGCACCCTGATAGGCCAGGCCAGGCCAGGCAGCATGAATAAGTGAAAAGTTATTCTAACATTGAAGGTGACCCCAATCTAGTCCCATTTTGCCAAGATGAATGCTTTTCAGTATCAGACAAATTTCCTGTATCGATAACACATAATTTCTGCCCCCATGTCTTTGCTTGCAGTTTATCTTCCTATTTCCTTTAACTTTTTAAAATCTCTTACTGCCAGAGAGCTACAGTTTTGGTATTTTATCATTTATGAGTTTCTATAGACACTTGAATTTACAAATATCTTCTATATCATGCCCTAGGATTACAGGCTGAGCCACCATACCCGGCCATGCCTTACATATATTTAATTTTAAATGATCCAAGCTTAGCAAGCAGTATGACGATTCGCCAAAAGATGCTTATTCTGTATCGTAAGTTATAGCTGACAAGAAGGCAGGCACTGTTCAAACTACTTTTGATAGTTTTTTACAAAGAACTAAAGCACTTTAATGCTTAATATTTCTAACCTAAATTACAATGAACTGAAGTTACAATGTACTAAATAAATATTAGTTTTATTCATTTCCTCACAAATTCGTAATGGACAATAAGATAGTTACAGTTTTGACAAAATACTGCAAAGGTCATGAAACAATCAAAATTTTCCCCATTGATATTAAGATACTAAGATCTCTTTGGATATTTTCAGCTTACATGGTCATTTTTAAGGTCCCATGATACCTTGCACGACAACGGCTGCCTAAAATGTAAAAAACCAAGACCTACATTATTTGCCAATTTGCACTCAAAGTAACTTAAGTCTTTTCAAAGCTAAAATTATAATGTAGAACTATATTATTAAGCTCTTGAAAAGCAAA